CGGAACAAAGGCGGGCAAGGTAAGCTCTCGTGGCCGCGTTCTTGTGAAACCGAGCATGGATTTTGACGACGAACAAGAGAAGAGATAGATCTTTATGCATCACGGCCCCATAGTCGACCTCCGAAAATATAAACATATCCGTGGAGCACGTCGAATCGATCTTGGGCATCATTTGCACTATCTCGAACGTGTACTCATCAAGCTCAAACATCGGGAGCACGGGCGTAGGCACACTAAACTCCTCCAAATGGTCACGATCCTCAATAATACGAAACGATGATCCAAAAGACATGGGAACCACATCATACTCAACATCACAAGTCGACTCATCAATCAACACACACCTCGGGCCAACGACATCACATAATAGCTCGGACTCCTCAACAACATCCACAAGATCATCAACTTCCATATCCTCCTCCTCAATATCATCCTCCCGAGCACTATCAATATCGTTCGATACAATCGAAACCTCAAATGAGTTCTCTCCCATACCATAAACCATATCAACACCCGATTCTACATGCTCACTCTCAACAATAGAATTCGAACTAAAAGCACAATCACCGGGAGAAAGAGTTGACGTACCTAGAGTGGGTAGCACGGCCGAATCATCGAAAGAGGGTATTTCTTTAACAAGCAAATCGTCGATGTCCTCACTCGTGTCGAGAGGTTGTGTTCCGTCGTAAACGAGAGTGAGGCCCATCTCTTTCAAGGAGGAAAACCTATCCACCATGGTTTGAAATTCTCCCTCTAACTGAGTACTCTCCCGAATAATCCTCGCCGATAGAGAACAATATCTACCGAGCGAAATGTGAGATGCATCCAAATCAAGGAAAGAGACAACGGTAGAGTCGAACTTCGTTAGTGTGACTTGAAGAACAGATGGAATGGGAATACACCTCCAACTATGAAACTCCTCAATGATCGACATAAGGCTAGCAAGTGCCTCTTGAGTGCTCGCCAAAACCTCTCGGTGTCGTTCGAAAAGCACAACCGTTGATGGAATTGAAGCTTCGATCCTCGGTGTACAAGGTTGGCCAACCAATAGGTGCTCAAATGATGGAGAAGATGGAACATGGGACTCGGTTTCTTCGTTTTCGAATGTGGGAGCCATTGAAGCACGGAGGGATCGATTGCACTCCTCTAAATGCTCCATAATCTCGGCTAGATTGACTCGAGAAGATTCTCGAGTTGGCTCGGGTGAAGATGTCGCATCGTAAAAATCGGGAGACAGAGGATAATAGTGAGGCATCTCTTTGGGACCCGGAGAGTAATAACCAAAATCGCCGTGAGATGTCGGTAAAGAGTGGCTCGGATACGGATAAGGTGGCCCTCCATACGAGTATATTTCCTCATGGTAGTTGTCGGGGTATCCATGAGATGAGCTACCGGCATAAGAATAGCCGTACGAATCCATCGGAGCTCCTCAAGCGAAATACCTTGCACAAGAAAAACAAAACAACCCAAAGGCACACGAGGCAAAAGAGATAGAAAAAGCAAAAGCGAAACTAAAATGACATAATATTTACACGGGCACGAAAGCAAAAGCAAGAGAAATAGAAAATAAGCAAATAATCAAGAGAAACACGCAAAAACGAGCAAAGAACACAAAACGCAAGAGAAACACGGAAACAAAGGACAACTAGAAAGCAAACTTGGCGTCCTACTCGCCTTCCCCGGCAACGGCGCCATTTTGTTTAGTAGTATTTTTGGGCATGTGGTAACCGAGGTACCCGACTCGGGTCGTTCTCAAAGGAAGGCTCTTCGGAGCTTCGTTCACTATCTAGTCGTCAAAATCACACAATAAAAAAGGTCCTAAACATTCTACTAACACACGTCGACGAGCACAAACTAATCCCTAACACACGTCGACGAGCTACAAGAATCGAACATTCCTCCGATCAACAAGCAAAAACACAATCACCTTGAAACTCATCATAAGCAAAAGAGGGCAAATACGAAGTAATGAGGATTAAAGCTAATTACCCACTCTTCTAATGCATGCGTGAAGAACACCGGATGGAAAAGTTCGAAACTTGAAATAAAATGATGTCGCCGGAAACTTGCCGGAAAATATGAGTAATAGAGCTCCTAACCCAAGTATAAAAAAAGAAAAAAGAGAAATAGAGAGGATTTTCCCAACTTAAAAGTTGGGAAATGAGAGTTGTTCCCAAAAATACAAAGCATAATGTCTTTTTATAGCTACACCACAAACACACACTAAAACACACACATTAAATGATGAAAACTCGCAGGATAGGTCGAATTCGCAGGATAGGTCCTTGATTTTCGCAGCTTGATACACCAAAACTCGCAGCTTAGATGATGAAACTCGCAGCTTAGGGCATTTTCGCGGGCTCGAAATGGTCCCATGACCTCTTGATGCTCGATTTGCTCTAACTTCTCGCACACAACTCCAATTCGCACGAAACTTGGACCCATATTCTCTTAATTGAATTCTCTTCTTCTCGGTATAGCTTGGGCGGGATTTTCCAGTTGGACGGCTCGGACGGCTCGTCTCCTCGTTCTCGCCAAGTTGGACCTATTCAACACTAAAACAAAAGACAAACGCGCAAAAATACGAAAACACTATACAATAACAAGAATACACAAAACACGATAAAATGGACCGGTCGACACTAAAACGAGCCTAAAAACTATAAAATAAAGCACACAAAACACACGAAAATAAGCACAAAAACACAATACACAAGAGCCTATG